ATGGAGTACTGGCATTGGCGCCATCTGCAAAATCAACTTGTCATCATATATCGAATTCCGCTAGAGAATTCTCTCCGGAGTTTCTCTCCGGAGTTCATTTCCAACTGTCGTAACGGTAAGCAGTCTGAGTCTCAAATGATGACTCACTTTTAAGGAATGTGTAAAATCACAAAACAATGTGAATCCATCTTCAGGATGAACGATTTTTTCCACGCTGAGGGCATCCGTCGATTAATCGCGTGGACACGGACTCATCCTCGCGAAAATGAGCCCTTGAGTCAGCGGTATCATTTAAAACGCGTGACCGGATATAAAAGTGTGAGCTAAAATTGCAAAAACCGGAAATAAACCTTGCTAACTTGATGAACTAATATCTCGAGAATTAGTTCGGTGACCTACCCTGATTCTTTGTGTAAAAATTAATTTCATAATTACGCGTTACTCAAGAGAATTTAAAAAAAATTTATCTAGTGGAAATTTTTTTACAATTTAAAACAGCATTTTCCTAAATAATTCAAGTTCTACTAGATAGTTTTTTTTAATATCACGTGTACAGGTAGAGAATGTGATGATGTTTAAGAAATTTAAAAGAAAAAACTAGGTCACCGACTTGGATTTTGAGATATCTTTCAAAAACTGAGTTTTAGAGGGTCTTTTAGCACTACTGTACTGTTGCCATGGCAACAGATAATGCCTGACAAACCCCATTAAAAGATTGCCCTAAAATAGTGTTATGCATATGTAAAGTCATTATCCTGATGATAAGTTTGACAGTCCTGATTTCTTTTACTGATTGGCACTTGCTGTTAATTGTGAAAAACCCTTTCGAGCCTCCTAAACAAAATTATGGCAAGTTAAACACATTTCCAACATCACTTTTACATTATAACAGGTTTCCCTACCCCACCCATGTAAACATTCAGGTGTAGTAGCAGATCGTGTACCTCAGTCGTAGCTATTTCCATGAATTGAGACAAGGCTTTTTCCACATTTGGTTTTGTCTTAAAAGCCATCAAGACACTATTCTCTAGTATGCGGTATTTTAGAGGATTATCCTTTGGCTTGAAATCCTGTAAAGATGTGAATCAGTTATTAGATTAAAATTAGTGGAATGGAAGAAATTTCGATTGCAAATTCGGAGTGTGAGATTCGAATCCTCGAAAGAGAGACTCAAGTAATTCTTTGAAATGAGGAATCGCGCAGTGATGCACAGTATGGATTGTAATTCTACTTGCAGCAAAGATAAAAAGTACAGTGTGGAAGTACCACCATCTTATTCATCATTATTTTTTTCCTTTGTGGTGCAGCGTATTTCGAAGTCAAGTACATACTAAAAATATAATAAAAATTATAGCACATATTTACACAACAAACAAAACACGCCAGATTCTTTTCACCTTTAGCAGCTTTTCAGCAGTGCGAACAGCCATCATTTCTGAATCTTGCTTCTCGTTTGAACTGCACGTAACAAGGATGAATGACACAAGCATGAATGTAAGAATGACGTTTGAGAGTCAAATAGAATGACAAGAAATCTTGAAGAAAGGCATGAATGCGACTAACAGAAGTCACAAACAGTCCACAGTTTGAACCCTCGAGTAACATTTGATTGTGTAGTCTGATTGTCCGAGTGAGAGTAGTCTTGGAAAGGACTATTGTCGGTAATGCCGACAAACGTTTCGACAACCTTAGAAGAAGTCTGCATCGGAGTCCATTAAATGGTTGTTGTCAGTCAAGTGCTATAAGTACGGTTGGCGCAACCTCATTGGTCCGTTTAGCTCAGAGAGAACGGGGAGGACGAGGGCATATAAGAAATTTGAAGTTCTGAACAGATGGACGCTTACATGACAGTGTACAGTGGGTCAGTTGTCTTTTTTAAGAATTCTGTCACATTTCAGGTGAATTTAAAGAATTAAGAAAAGGGCTGGGTAGATATTCACGTACCAAAGAGTTGAATATGGGCTCCTAATAAACAATCCATGACCAGAGTGATGCTCTCAATCAGGCATCTACTGCATTTGCTACCTAAACATCGAGGTTCCACTTTGTAAATTCAAAACCTTTTTCTTACCTCACATCACCATCAACTGCCTCAAAGGTTTCTCCTCCCAAAGTTTCATTATCAGGGTTGAGGCATATTTCAATCATGTTGTACACAGCATACTCGCCCCTAAGAAAGTGAAAGAAAGAACATGTTTGTAACCGAATGATATCCATACTCTCTTTAACCGCGAGAAACACAATACAACTAGGAAAATTTTACAAGTTGAAGGTAAGATGAACCTAACAGTACTTACATAACAAGGCAGTCTGTTTGTCCCCACTCTAGTCCATGAGTCAGTCAGTCAGATTGTAAGTCAGTCAGTCAGTTAGACTGTAAGTCAGCCAGTCAGACTTTAAGCGAGTCAGTCAATCAATCAGAATTTAAGTTAATCAGTCAGTAATTCAAACAGTAAGTATGTCAGACAGTATAAGTCAGTCAGTCAGCCAGCCATTCAGTCAGTCAGACTGTAAGTCAGTCAGTCAGTCAGACTTCAAGTCAGCCAGTCAGACTGTAAGTCAGTCAGACTGTAAGTCAGTCAGTCAGTCAGACTTCAAGTCAGCCAGTCAGACTGTAAGTCAGTCAGACTGTAAGTCAGTCAGTCAGTCAGACTTCAAGTCAGCCAGTCAGACTGTAAGTCAGTCAGACTTTAAGTCAGTTAGTCAGACTGTAAGTCAGTCAGTCAGTCAGTCAGTCAGTCAGACTTCAAGTCAGGCAGTCAGACTGTGAGTCAGTCAGTCAGTTGGTCCGTCAGACAGTATAAGTCAGTCAGTCAGCCAGCCAGCCATTCAGGCAGTCTGTCAGTCTGTGTGTCTGTTGTTCTGCCTGTCTGACTGGCCACTGTTTTACATTTTCAAATTCCTGACTGGCCACTGTTTTACATTTTCAAATTCTCTGTGCTAACTTGACTCTGACTCTTCTTTTATGTATCAGTCATTTTCACTGTCATCTAGAAACTTACTTCAAGCTCATGACTCTTTTTAAGCTAGTCGATGAGTAATTTAGTGAACACTATGTTTCGTGACGTCGTACAGTTGACCACTTAGACAAAGAGGACGTCAGCCAATCAGTAAAAAATCCTGACTGTCAGTCTTGTCGAGCAGGCTCCGGTTGTTCAAAGAGCATATAACGCTATCCAACGGTGAAATCGCTGTCCAGCGGTTAAGTGTTACCAAAACGTACTGCACTATCCACCGGATAGAGATTTATCCAGTGTATAGCGTTATCCACCGGATAGAGACTTATCCAGTGTATAGCGTTATCCACCGGATATAGGTTTATCCAGAGTATAGCGTCATCCAGTGTATAGCCTTATCCATCCTTCGAACAACCGGGGCCAGGTAGACATGACATTGCAACTAGAGTTGCCTCTCACCATCTAGCATCTTTCCTGGCCAGGTTGAAATGTTTAAGAGCTGCCGTGGGGCTCACTGTGTACCTGCATTTATACAAACAACAAATAACCATGTCTCAAGCAAGACAGAATCCTTCTATTAGTGCTCCAGTGTGCTTGTGCACACTGGGATGATAAAATTTTTAAAATTTTAAGAACATTTCAGTGTAGATTTGCTTTTAAAATTCGTATTGTCATTCACCGCTGAACAGTAGCCCTACCAGTAAAAGAGTCCTTTACAGTAGTTTAATCCTGAATCCATAGCAGCACGTGGAATAGCACTTTCTGCCTGAAAAGGAAATAGAGTTACTGGTTCCTTCAGTCCAGTTATTGGATACAGCACAAGAGAAATGATGAATGAGAAGGGAAATGTGTTCCTGAGACCTCGTACGGCCGGTTATTTACACGAGATCAAATCAAACCACAGTTTTACACAATCAGTGGGCCTCAGGCTTTCTCGATAAGAGAGTAGATTTGATTGAAATAAATGTCTTTCCACTGTTAGCTTTCAGCCCTTTTGACGCTGTTCACAAAAATAAATGTTTAGATAAAAGGTTCAGAAGATTGTTTAGGACGCGGTTTTGTTATACAACGGCTAAAATCTGTTTAAATAATCATATACTAGGCAAAACCAAAATTACAAAAACACTTACCTGTTCCAGGTACTTTGAACAATCGTCCAATTTCCCTGCCCTTCTCAAAAGATTAATCAGCCGCGCTAGGGCACTGTAATGATCTGCATTCATGAAAGTGCGTTGGAAATAAATGATTTCAGATGTTTGACTCCATTAAGCTTTACACTGATTTTCAACTTTCCTTTTACACATGTAATTTCTGACGTTTGAGTGACATGGAAACGAATAAGTCAGATATAAATATTCTGATGGCACGCTGAAGAGGTTCACGTGGCATCATGGAAGTTTCGGAAGTTTCAGGAAAATTAAAGGAAACATATTGACCTTAATAAATTTCGATAAGAAAAAACTAAATTCATCAGTATGCGGCGCAAAGCTTTAAAATTTGAACGGTACCTGGTTTTCTTTCCAGAAACTGCTGGAAGTGAAATGTGGCAGAATCATATTCATTCTTCCTGAACATCAAATCTGCCATCATCTGAAAAATACACAACAAAAAATTAGTAGTAGTAGTAGTAGTTTATTAAACTCTCTTGCAGTAACTTACTGAATTAACGAGTTATGATACAATGAAAACTTAATAATGAAGAACGACTATGTATATTTCTGTATACATTCTGTACAAGTTATATACACTACACGGAACATACATCACATTTGTTAAAAATACTTAAAAGTTAAAAAGTCTTCGGTACGCTTCGTTCTACAGGTAGTAACGTTTCTGTAAAGATACAACTGGTCTGATTTGTGCCTGAGGTTATCGGGACAAGTATCGTCTAAGCGTGTTGGTAGAAGAGGATGGAGAGGGTGGTTTAAGTCCTTTATTTTGCACATAGTACTCTCTACATATCTTATCTCTTCTATACGCAAGGGTCTCCACCCGTGCTAACTCGAGGGCTTCTGAGTAACTATCGGCACATGGGAAAATTATCTTATGCATCAATCCACAGAAAAAATAGTTCCCAAACACAAACATGCATTCCTTTACTTTTCATATCTCTATGTTTCATAATTTAAAATATCATTTGGTTTTAAGAAGACTGACACATGAGGAGAATACAGATATCTTATTCGACGTTTTGTTGTGTAGTATTGCTGAGTATTTTTACGAGTTGTGCCGTATTTTGACGAGCCCGTAGGGCTCGTCAAAATACAAATAACGAGTAAAAATACTCAGCGATACTACACAACAAAACGTCCAATAAGTTATTTATTATCCAACAAGCCAAATTGTTATTTCAGTGCGGGCGAATTACGCGGATATTTATTTACGGGGAGTAAATAAATATCCGAAGCGGAACGGAATTGTCGCGTTGTCGTGTTGCTGTTTCTATTTTCCTCTATAAATGAAGAAGTTTCTTGGTCGTCTAGCTTTTCTTCTTCGCTCGATCCATCTAATAAACTTGTATCTATACTGGCCGGCCATTCTGACTCTTCGTCGTCGGAAATATGATTCAAATTGTCCGCCACTTTTTTTTCCTAACTACAATCCAATTCTTTGCTTGCTCGACGCGAGAAAACCTGTTTAACCGGTACTCTAGAGTACAAATACTGCGTGATATTTGTACTCGTCTATGGCGTTATTTGTACTCTACGAAGTGTAGTTGGATAATAAGAGATAGATATTTAATATACTTTATCCTCTTGGTGGTTGTCTTCACAGCTGGTCAATTTGACTGGTGCTCAGCCCTCAAAAAAATCTTTGCAAAAATGACATACCGGTAATGCAAACTTTCATCATAATGAAAAACCAAAGTAACTTTGAGAGCATCTTTTGTTTTTGTTTGAAAACAATAGATTTACTTACAACTGTTGCAGAATCATTTTCTGCATCCATCTTTAGAAGCTGAACACACTGTTGCTGAGAGGAATCTAAATCATCCACAGTTAAATAGAGTCTGGCCAGCGCTAACATGGACTGCAGAACGAAACAGAAAAACAGAATATGGTATGGCAATCACCAAGTACAAGGAAACAACATGTCTAGCACTTATTTTGTTTATTACCCACTCAATAGAGGAAATCAACAAACAAAAGATATCATATTAAATCAATGCTTCTTCATCCAGAAAGTGTTTATTTATTATTAACACGGAAGAGAAAACAGGGGTTTTATACGTGCACATAGCATTAACATTCCTGGGGGAAAAAAACAAAAAAAACAAAACCAAACCAAAACCAAAATAAAACAAACAAATAAGACCACAGTTTTCAGAATATTGCTGGGGTGCTATTTCATAATAGGCTACCCACAGGTGATATTAATTGGTTTTCAAAGGACCTGTTAATTTCTTGAAAGATAGACTTGTGTGCTTCTCAATAATTCATTTTCCTCAATTATCAAACAAAGACCATTAACAGTTCTATCAAGGCAGTCTACAGTACTACAATGACCATGCAGTATATCTGCATGTCATTGTGGTATAGTTAGGCATAGGCTGCAACTAGGCTTCACTTTTTTCTTTTAACACTTTGAATATTATCTGACCAAATATGTTTGTAGTACTTACTGGTACATGTGTTTCGTCATATGTGAGTCCCTCTTTGTAGAAATTTATGGCTTTCTCAAATTCTCTGGCAGTAGTACACAATTCTGCCATTTCAGCACAGATCCTGTAAAAGCATTTTTCAAATTTCATTAGTTGTGACATATAAATGTGCAAGCATACATACCATGAAGAAAATCATATTATAGGGGAATTAAGAAACATGTAATAAAATAAAGGTTTTATACCTTTGCCTGAATTAAAGCTCTAAGGAGGTTCTAAAACTGTTGCTAATTTATAATAAAAAGTGTTGTGGAAATACCTTTCTTATTACTGCGAGTATTGTTCAGAATGGTACCCAGTCTAAACTACATTCAGTTAAGCTTTCCTACCCCTGTGTAACCCTTAAAGAAGCCCTGAGTTAAAATACAAATACATCTTATAAAGAAATGTCAGTGTTTTCAGGAGAACTAGAGGAGTTTGTGGGAAGGCAACTGGTGTTTCCTGAGGCCACTCTCAAAGTAATACTCATTTCAGTCCACACTTCTTTGTGATACAAAAAGACAAATACTACAAGATTATAAAGGAAGTAAAAGCCAGAGAAATCCAACATAATATAAAACGTTACTGAATTTCTGAAAATAAACTTGGGAATCAACTTGAATTGATATTTTTTTGGGATACACACAGTATTATGTTTGAAAAGATAGAATCAATTACATTGTTAGAATAAAAGGATCCTGAATTTGGGAAGCAAAGTAACAGTGTTGTTCCTTGGGTTAGTGGTTTGACCCATGCCATTCACCCATTGTACCACCACAGGGTCTAATGTTACGATTAAGTTAACAAACCTTTAACTTACTTTGCAGCCTGCAATTTTTGTGCTTTAACAGCATCTGGTTGTTCCACCCCAACTCTTCTTAAAACCCTTAAAAAAGTAGTTAAAATACATGCATTTTATCTCTAATATTCATGAAATATCACAAGATAATCACTTCACCGATTGTTTAGTTATTGCAGCTGTTCCTTAACAATATCGAAAAAAATATGTGGGATATATAGACATGAAACAAATTGAGTAACACAACTTGGAAACAGATAGCTTCAACCAGCGTATTTCTATTTCTTATTACAGTGTATAGTCATTTGACCATAATGGAAGGAGAGCTATATGAATGTTTACCTTCAACCAGCTGGTAAATTATTTCTGGAGGATGTACTGATGAAACTTCTGGTGTTAAAAATGACCAACTTACACTTACCATAAATTCAAAGGTCTCTTGCAGCATATATTTCAGTGAAGCTTGTGCATGTTTGCGTTTATTACTGCTCAAACTGGCATGGCATTTTCTTTACCTTTGCCCACCAAATCTCACCTGGTTTGAACATCCTTAGCCCGTGTGAGTGTCTTGAGGGTTTCTTCTGCATTACCCAACTTTTGATAAACTCGAGCCTGAAGCTCTAAGAGTCGTGCTTCTTCCATTAGAGATGGAAGGTCATTAGCTGTATGGGAACAGAGCAGAGACAAAAGGAATTATACTAAGAATGAGTTGCATTCTCTACAAAAGAGGGATCCCTTCTGAATTTAAAAAACTGGCAGCTGAGAGGGCACCTCTCCATTAGCCTTCCAACACAACTATTTATCACAAAAGTTATTTACTAGTCAAGTGCAACATTTTTGCATCAAAAGTGGATATCTGACTGTATGAAATACAAGTAGCTACATGCCTATTTTAACTCAACTGTTTCATACAATTTCATGCAGAGACAACTCACTGATGAAAAGTGCACATTTATGTTAATTTGAAAATACCTAAATAAAACAGGTTAGTAGTAGTCTTTATTTCAAGAGGGTAACACTCAATAGTTAAAAACTAATAAACTTGTGGCCCTCTACTACATATGAATGAAAATTACATTATTAAACTATAAACAATGGACAGGTAATAATTCTATGAAAAAATCGAACAAATAGATAAATAATTTTACATAATAAAGTTCAATAAAAATTATGGATAAAAGTAAGGCAAGTGAGCTTGATCTTGTAGAAATTGCTTTCCCAAGGTGCACTTAAAACATTTTACACTCAGCTGCTTCCTTATTTCACACTTTAAATTGTTCCAGTCCTGTATTGCAGACACTACAATCAAGCTTACTCCTTCAGTCTTTCTCTTGTATGTAGGCGCAATAAAATTCAAGCTGGCAAACCTGGTATTACATGAATGCCGAGAGCTATTCAATTTCAGGGAGTCCATAAGATACTCTGGCACTCTGCGTTCAATTCTCCTCTACAATATTGCACATTTATTAATACGAGTTTCTGCGTAAAAAGGCAGCCATTTCAAATTGTTGAAAAGCACAACAGAAGAGGTGCCTGCTTCTGCAACAAGTATAATCCTAGCTGCTCTCTTTTGGAGATGTAAAAGGCATAATAAACATTCGTTCCTTAATTTGGATTGCTTAACAATGCTGCCATAAATGAAAAGTGACCTTATAGTAGAATTGTAATAGAGAATCCTTTGCCTTAAAGGGAGACAAGACTTAATCTTGTTCAATACACCAGTTCTTTGCACTAATTTCTTACAAATACTATCAACGTTATTTGAAAAAGAAAGTTTCTTATTATATGGATACTGATGAAATACCAGGATTTCTCCTTTTACTGAAAAATCATATCTTCACCGCGCGCAGTGAAGATACTATTTTTATCTTTCACATGTGAGGATATTGGTGTGGCCATGGTTACCAACATAATTACCCAATTGCTGTTTCGAAAATGAATAAAAAAAGTTGTCTTTTATGTGGAAATTTCATCAGTATCTAAATAATAAACAGAACATTACATGGCCACTTGGGGATACAAATTTTATCTTCTCTTGCTGAAAGTATCTGCGCTCACTCGTGAGAGATACTTTCATCACTCGAAGATAAAATTCATATCCGCGCGCAGCCATGTAATATCCTCTATGTATCTATATCTACTCCTAATAACTTCACAGGTTGAAAGGTGTGTACCTTTTTCTTGTTCCAGAGCCAACTTGATGACTTTGTCTGACTTCTCATAGTTTTTCAGCTTTAGATACAGCTCAGCTAAATCATACCTACAAGACAAAATGTACTTCAGGGAGGTAATTCCCACAGGTGGCATACACCACCAAATTTTAGTCTCCAAGTATGTTTTCCAAATTTTTGACCAACCTTAAAAAGTTTTGCTGTCCTGATTTTAAAGCAGCCTCATAGTAGTTTATGGCCTACAAAACAGCATCAAAACCAAATATGATACCTTGACACACCATGTCAAAAATTGTTTATGAGAAGTAAACAAAAACAGTACTTTGCCATCCAAAAGTATACAAACATGCAACTGAGGGTAGGTAAAGCTTCAAATGATCATCCTTTATCCATAAAAGTTGACTTCATAAGCTGGCATTTTGAATCTTTCTCATTAATCTGGCCACTCCGAAATAATACAACAGAAACTAGCCCCTTCTTGTTTCTTAGATCTTGGGAAACTCACAGTTTCTGCCTAAAATTGAACTGATGTCAGTTTCAAAATGGTGGCATGCCAAGTCACATTTCAAGAACATTAACAGAAATTTTGAACAGCAATGTAACACTCAAACCACAATAAATTAAAATCATATGGTTCTTGGAGCATGGTTCTCCTTCAATCATATAATTCCATCAAACACCTTGAGCGTGACTATTGATATCACAACCATTTCAACCTTAAAAAGTAAGAACAACCTACAACCTCACACAAATTCTGGAAACAAAAATCATTGTGACTGATGTGCTCATTGCTCCAAAGTCAAATTCTGCAACACCACACAACAACCTCAATCTCAACAACAACAACAACAACAACAACAACAACAACAACCTCAACAACAGGAACAGTCTTCCTTCTCATCAAACCACAGCATTGCACCAGGTTGTTTGACAACTAAAAACATTTTTGAAAATTTTTTTTTCATAATTGAGGGGTCTTCTGTTTCTCCTTCATTACTAAAAGAACTATATACAAATAAATCGAATGAAGCCTTACACTGCTGTAAAAAGTTAAAATGTTTCATAAATTTATGAAACATTTTAACTTTTTACAGCAGTGTAAGGCTTCATTCGATTTATCTGTATATATTTCAACAATGCTGCTGAAGGACAACATGAACAGACTAAAAGAACTGCCCAACAAAAGAACAGTGCATACCTTGCCATAGTGATGCGTCTTCACCAGTGCTTGTCCTATTTTACTTGCCAATGCTCCATCTCTTGGGTTTCGCTTCAGGGCTGTCTCATAAACTTCAATGGCTTTCTCAGGCTTAATTAATATGACAAAACAACATGATAACAAGTGATTTTAAACTGTATTTCCATAGGACATTCTTCCAAAACCCTTCATAAAAATTCTCTGAAAACACTGTTACATTTCACTATTACACTGTTACATTTCACTGTTACACTTCCCCAAGCCAGATAAAGCTGTTGAAACATATTTAGCTTCTATAATAAGAACCCTAGCTTACCTCTTGAATGCTCATATAGGCATCTCCCAACAACAGACAAGTGTGAGGACTTGGATTCTTGTCAACGAGTTCTCTGCAGTAAGTAAAATTGGATTTTATTCAAGCTTACTGCACACACTTAAATTTGTTTCAATTCCTGGTAGTGGTGAAAACTGATTACAAGAGTACAGAACTAACAGGACATCCTGTTATGCTATCCCAAGAATTAAATTTTCTTAAAAGTTAGCAATTTACAGATATTTTTTTACTTCTCAATTTTTCTACCTAATTAACAATACACCAAAATGAAAACAAATGTACACTGGATAAAATGAGGGACGTTTTCCAATCCTGCATGAAAACTCTTTGTACAAACAGAAAGGTAAAACAATAAATAAAATACCATCAGTGTCAGCAATATATGAAACCAACTATAAATGTTTCCTTTGATCACAACAGCCCACATTCATAACCTCAATTTCAAATGAAATTTTTGGTTGATGATTATGTGAGCCTCCATTAAAAACTGACCTGTAAACACTTGCATACAATCGCTTGTCTTTACGATGATGTAAATAAATCTCTGCCATCTTCTCCTTTGCCTTGATGTAGTAACTGCCCAAAAAAAAGCAAATAGGTTAACAAATAAATAAATAGACATATCAACCACTCAATCTATACATAATGTGAATTTTAAATCACCTTTTTATTGAAAATACAAAAACTTGTTAAGTTATCACAAAACACACTCACTGTATCTAACAGGCATCATTGTACAATTAACAACACTAAAATCTAAGAAATCATACTTGTAGACCTACTGATTCATTCAATGAATTTTTCAAAATGTAAAGAACTAGTAACCTTTGCTGTGGAGTGATTTGTCTGAGTATAGTCAGTGCTTGCTCTGTATCACCATTCTTTAACACAAGGTCTGCATTGGAAATCTGAATTCTAAGAACAGAAAATAACAGCTTTATGTGAGATATCTCGGATGTTAACCAACTTTCAAGTTGATTTTGTTTTGTTGTTGTTGTTGTTTTTTTTTTGCCCTCTCTGTTTACCTGACTTCTTCTGGAGTGCCAGTGAACTCATGTAAAGCATCCTGCATGACTTTGGTAGCCTCATGCTACAAAGAGAAAGGGGAAAAAAAACAAAATGTGTTGAAATTCTTAATGGAATCACAAGGTGAAAGTCCAGAGTGGAATACCTCCAAACATGGTAAACTGTGACTAAAGATCACCGTATTAGGATACAATTTGAAACAGTGAACATCTGGCTTCTAAATGTCCAGCATCACAATGTACAAGGCAGGATAGTGCTCAATTTCTTTACCAATTGTCCAGCCTCCATATGTGCATCAGCAAGTTCAAGGAAAACAGCAGCTCTGTCACTGGCAGTTATTGCTGCTTTCTTGCCTTGTGCTTTGGGAACTAGAGATATACAAAAATGAGAGAAAAAACAGCTGATTAAGAACTAAAGGCAAAGTGATATGCATACACAGCATTCACTCCCAAGATCCAACTAGTAATTCTCTTTAGCATCTGCTGTCTAGTTCTTAATTGGTCATCATAGTTTGGTGAATTTGGTTTTGGATTAGTTAATAATCTCTAATCACTTGGCTACTTGATATTGTTTTGATATTGTAAGGAAAACTCTGTGATGGTCACTAATAGGACTTAAAGTGTCAATTAAAATCAATTCGCAAAGGAATTTTTTATTATCATATAAAAATGCTTATGAACTAACTGGATGATTATAATGTAATTAAACATCCAAAATTTAAAGGTTATTACAACATTGTTACCTATAAATATTCTTAAACAAAAGAACACTACCTGCTTTTTTAACTCCAGGAAGATTCATGGCAGCGTGCATAGTGTTAACACTTTCCTCTGGATGACCCATCTTTCTCTGTACTCGGGCTTTTATCAAATGATATAAAGGATGATTCCTTACCTAACAAATCCAAGTTAAAGATAAAACATGTTTTCCATGCAGTAGTTATTTTGAGTTCCCCAGTTAAAAAAAGCTTTGATTTTGCTCATCCACACTCATTTTCACTAGAGGATTAGATACATGTGTTTCAAGAATAATACTTTATTTCCCAAAAACCTAAACATGGCAATAGAAGGAAAAATACATGAACTAAATTGCAATCATGCAGGATTGTTCATTTCAGAGGGATTTAATCACTTGTGAAGGGAGTCCTAAAATTGAAAAAAGATATCTTCCCACAAAGTTTGTCCCCATTTGACAATTAGGAACTTTCAATGTAACTGTTAACATGATAGCATGAAGGATTTTGAATTGTCAAAATACTCACAGTCATTTTAAGGAATTAAAGCATTAGGCTGTCTATTACGGTAGTCTGTACCAGCAACATGTACACACAAGTGGTACAGATTATAAGAACTGATAAAGCATCTTCCCCATATAAAGACAGAACCTCACCTCAAAGTTGTAACTAAGCCCCACTTCAAGTGACTGCTCCGACAGTTTGAAGTTACCTTGCAGAAGATGAATCTATTGATAGCATACAGAAAAGGAATTAAAAATGTTGTAACTGTTTCCAAAATGCATGTAATGTCTTAACAGAATTATGCAAACCTTATTATTATATTACATTTATGGGCTGGGATACATGTATATATTTTCTCCAACCATGAATTTGTACTCCCAAAGTGAAGCCCCTCACAAAATGTACAAACCATGATCTAAAATATTACAAATTCTGATGTAAGTGCCACAATAAGTGATATTTTCACTACTTCCTGGTCCCAAAGTTCTCACAAATAAATCCTGAAAAATCAAGAATGTCAACTAACCTGGGCCATCAAAAGATGTGCATCAGAAAATGTTGGATCTTGGTCCAGGCAATGAGTCAGCATGGCTTTAGCAGCATCAGTTTCCCCTGGAAGAAAAGCACAATGGGTGATAAGGTGGTGGGTTTAATGTACCCACAAAATACGTTGTGGCTAAGTGAAACAGAACTACCAATAATAATGACACCAAAAGTAGTATTAAGTGAACCATCAGTGCTATTGTCACTCTTTTCCTAAAGTTTGTAGTTGTTTTCCTTGCATAATCAAATTCTTACCAGATAAGTACTTGACTTTAGCCATTAGGTACAGTCCCTCCAGCAATCCAGGAACACTTTTTGTCAAAGGATCCAACACAGCTGCACAGCGTTTGAGAAGTGGAGGAGGAGGCTGACCAGGGCTTTGTGCCTGACAACAATTTGAGCCAAATCAAAAACTTTAAAAGGGCTTAAGGTTACTGCATCTTAGGGCATGTTTGCATCAGTTTTAGTGGCATGACATGGCTTGGAGTGTTGGTACTCCACCCTGGACTGGATGCCAGTCCATAACAGGGCTATTCCTTCATGGTTTGTCAGGTTTCCATGGCAGTTGGCCAGTATCCATTTACAATCTTGGGTGGTGAAAGAGACATCGAGGGTAAAGTAACTCAGCCAAGAAAACTACACAATGACTTGGCCTAAAAGCAAACAAATGACCCTTCAAATTGGAGTCTGGCCCTCTAACCTTCTGGCCCCCAAATGTCTTCAACATTTCACCTATCAATATCTCTTTGGGCCTCTCTGTGTTTCAAATTTACCTTCATTGTGAAGACATCAAATTAAATTCAACTTGATGCTTAAACAAATTAGACAAATTCCATGGTCAAGAAACTTACTTCAGTGGGTGCAAATATGAGGTAGTCATTAATCACTTGAAGGAGAAAATCTGGGTTCAAGCAGTAGAAATACTTTACACCAAGGGCAAGACCCTGAAATACAAATAGTAATAAAAGAATCAAAAATTAAGAATCTGCAAGCTAATGTTCAAAATAGGTTGATATATAACAGCACAAGCTGCTGGACTAAATGTGCCTTTCTTTCCCAGCATTGATCTGAATGCAGCTCACATGTTGAATTCATATGTACAATTCCTAGTGAGTTTACAGTGCTCCTTTGTGAATACTGATAAAAATAATTTTGATCAATAAAACTCTTGAGAGAAATACAACTCATAGAAAGTCATTCATGCACAGCAAGTATATTTAGCACAATAATACAAGTGTCACACTGTCTAGTACTTCATCTTACCTTAAGGGAGGAAAAATGTGCATCAACAGCTTCATTTAGAAGAGTCATGACTTCCTCAACTGGCTTGTTTTTCTGCCTCTGAAGTACAGCACTCAGGTATGACAGCTCCTGTGGAAACACAACAGCATTCTAATTCATTCCAATGTAACTGCATGCAGGGTTTTGTGATGATTTAAATAGTTCCTATGGGTTAAATTGAAACTGCCCCTCCAAATTTTTTTTCACTACTGTTGCAGTAAGTTAATTGATTTAAATATGTTAAATATGTTAAATAATTTATGTTAAATGAAGCTCCCCCATAGAGGCTTTTCAGCCACAATGTAGACTAACTGAGTGATTGAAAACCCCCACTGGCAGGAGGCAGACCAGTGGGCTATTTACAGAGCACAGTCGAGGAGTTGAACTAGGGGCAACTGAGAACAAATCCAGTGAGGGTCTAAGAAGTACAATAACCCATCTCCAAAAAAGACATGAAAAATCCGGTACTATTTAAAATCATCTGGACCTAAATTCACTTTAAACAGCAAATTAAAACAACCATCAAAATTGTAAAAGTTAGAGGTGATATCTTGAGACAGAATATCAAAAGATCAAGAATTTCTGGAAACACACTCCAAATAAAACTACAGGCGGCTTACAGATGACTTTCCAATGGATTGTTGTATTTCATTCAGGAACTCTAATTGCTGCTCAGCATCCTCAAGCTGTCCATCCATCAGCTGACATTTGATTATACCTGACAAGCAAACAAAAGGCAATGTATGAATTAACTGTAACCCCTGAATGTGCCATTTGGCGCAGAGTTTCAAAGCTTTGCAAATATCTGCGGGACTTTCATGAATGTTTGCTGCATTAAGCCTAAAAAGTTTGTTCAGGTCAGAAAATTATCTTGTAAAATTAACCCTCCATCTAAGATACTTTTTAACACCCCAGCCTAAAACTTTAATTTCCAATTGTTTTTGTGAAATACATGTGAGATGCAAAACAAACTAAGTTGTGCACTTTGAGCTTTGAAATAAGGTTCAGTCTGGATGAATACCTATCACACTTGGTGGTTGGTAACTTTTGTAAGATTTTCCTTTTCAATCGACATGTTTTGATCTCAATTCTCAATTCAGATAGCCACTGATGTAACTACAAGTGGAATAAACATCCTGACCAATAGTTTTTTTAAACAGTATACTAAACACTTGACTGTAAGGAGTCTGTAATTACAGCTTTCTTAAAAGTCATCGACTGCTTCAATGAGAAATTTGATACTGATAAATGGGCTCTTCTAACTCAATTCAAAATGAAACATCATTGACCTGTCAGTGCTGGCACACTTGTTTCATCAAGCTTCATAGCAGTGCGGAATGCTTTCATTGCTTCTCGGTTGCGATGATGTAAGATGAGCTGATTTCCAAGCTGTGAACCCAAAGTTAAAAAATTCTGTTTAAAGGACCAAATTAACATGTATGTACACTCAAGTGTGAGACTAGGTGGTCTTTTGGTTGGCATGCTACACTCCTAATGAAGAAGTCTGGGTCTGAGCTCTGTTTAGGTCAATTTTCTGCGTTTTCTTTTTTCTCTAACAGGTGCCTCTCACAACCCAGGAGTATATATGGGTACCAGAAAAATGCTAAGGAAACTTGATGAAATGAGGGAGGGTCACTTAGAATGGACTAATACTAGCATTCTGTTTAAAATGGTAATTGTAATATTTCTTATTATTATTATACTTACTACAAAAACTCTGATTTGTGGAGAGCACATTATTAACAGGAAATATTCAATTACATGTGAAGTTGACATGATAACCCAATATTTGCAGCAGATATTGGGTTATCATTTCAAGTTCAAAGTCTGCCTAGTTTCCAAGCCACTCATGTGTGTAGTGTTCTGAAACTTTTGCAAACTCAGACAAGTGTCTTCTTTTGCAGATTGTTTAAAACATGGGAAATAAAACAATCGTGCACATATATGTTTCATAACCGCAGTTCATACATATGTTTCATATGTTTGTTGTTGTTTGAAAACAATTATTATTGAATTCGGTTTCCTTATTGTATCATGTCATAAATCATCAAACCTTACATCTGTGTTATCTGCCCAAGCCTTAGGCTTCAGCAGATAACTCAGATCTCAGCATTGATACCACAATTAACAATTATTCATCAAAGTGGAGGTGAAAAGTGGTGGATATTTATAAGTTTATTTCTTTCAATACACTGAAAAATGGTTGGAAATAAAAGTTGACATACAATTTTGTCTCATCAGGTGCCTGGAGGTGAATGATACTTGCCATTTGCTCCAAAACTAGCTAATCAGTTGAGATTCTCACAATTGATACAAATTGCACTAGTCACATGCTAATAATTCATGTTGCCTTGCTCAAAAACCATCCAATAATTGGTTATTCCCATCCCACTACTTTGCCATTGGCATTTTATCATTTTAGGGTAATGGATCACACTTGTTGCTTTATAACAAATGAATGCACTAAATGATCCAAATTTTTTTGCTTCTATTCCATTTTTTGGCCTGAATGTTCAAGCAACAAACTTTTAAACACATCAGTTCATCCCAAAAGAGTTTAAATCTAACCACCACAACCATGTTTACATACTACCCTCTAAACACAAATACTGACCAATAAGAGCACTTAGCATTGCACAATCAGTTATCTTTTTAAAGCTTTATCTTACCATGCATGCAGAAATCTTTACGGGTACTAATTTAAAAGTTGAGATTCTCACAAGTGACACAAAAGTACACTGTACATCAAATATACAACACAGCCTATAATAAGCACTGCCTTAACCATGATATACAGCACAGCCTATAATAAGCACTGCCTTAACCTTGATATACAACACAGCCTATAATAAGCACTGCCTTAACCATGATATACAACACAGCCTATAATAAGCACTGCCTTAACCATGATATACAACACAGCCTATAATAAGCACTGCCTTAACCATGATATACAACACAGCCTATAATAAGCACTGCCTTAACCATGATATACAACACAGCCTATAATAAGCACTGCCTTAACCTTGATATACAACACAGCCTATAATAAGCACTGCCTTAACCATGATATACAACACAGCCTATAATAAGCACTGCATTAACCATGATATACAACACAGCCTATAATAAGCACTGCCTTAACCATGACTGCTTACATGTACATGTACTTACCTCTGTCTGAAACTCTGCACTATTAGGAGCCAGTGACTGGGCTCTTTCCACCAATGTCAGTGTCTGTTGCAACACTAAATCATTTCTGCCACACTGAAAACAACAAAAGATATTAATCGCGACCTTAAAAACAACTTCTATTCATTATTAGGCATATCAAATAATTACAAGACCTTTGCAAAAGTATCAAACTAAAACCAAGTGTTGTTGGCAGGACTCAACAAATTCTTAGTCTCTCTATTTATTCAAAGTCAGATGTGGAATTAGAAAAAAATCAGTGCAAGTTGAATTTTCCCTGACATGTGACTGAGTGTTTTCAAAAAGCACTAAAATGGTGCTTAGTTTAAATGGTTTAGATTCAGTTTTGGAACTGTACTTTTTCCTTTTGTGTATGAATATGTTATGATGATGTGTCTGAAACAAACGCGATAATGTTTGAACTAGAAGACTAACTTATTACGTTCCTTCATAATCAAAACAGCAGTTAGTAATAAAATTTTATCAAGACCAAGTACTAGCACATGGAAAGATATGTCTGATTTGACTAAGAACAGAAATCATTGTTAAATAAATTTCTGAGTGTTTGGATTGACAAAATACAAACAGTTACTGTTAGTAGTAACCTACCAGTCTGCTGACTGCCTGGGACAAATCATGATATAGATAAGAATTCCTTGGTTCACATCTGTCTACCATCTGAATTAACTCTCCTAGCCTGTCTGAGGCCTGAAACAAAGAATGTCACTTCCATTTAAGGCCATGAACAATTTGAACCTCACTTACTTACCTACAGTAAGTTTTTACAATTCAAATAAATTTTGGATCGGTAGTGTACCCCATTTCATTTGCAATGTATTACCCTCACCTAAAGTATATAAAAAACAATGTCTGACCCACAACTAACAAATAGCTATTAATGTGTAATTATACATAATTGGAAGGAGAGGAGTTACAGTAACTGTAGTTCCTAAATCTGGGTGGGTTATTATATTATGAAGGTGGGATTGGAATTAAAAAAAAAAAAAAAACTGTACAATGACAATATAACAACAAAAACTAGCCAGATAAAAGAATGCAAAAAAAAAAAAAACAAAAACAAAAAAAAAGAAACAAAAAATAACATTAAAATTGTGTCTGTAACTTTTACTGGGACAAAAAATGGGCTACAATTCATTATGTACTGAACATTCATTTCAAAGGAGGAGGTCATCTGCAGGCAGACTGTATAAATATGGGGTTATAGATAACATCCCATTTCAAACTGAAAAAAGTATTGTTTAAGACAAAGCTGTATTGTGCCTGTGTTTTAGCTATACTTCCCAAACTAGAGCATGGTTTAATGGCAGACAGCACTTACTCAAGTGAAACAGAATTGAATTCATGTGTTTGTTTAAAACTTAAATACTGTAAGAACTTCTTTTTCACCTCATTATACTTTCCATCTCGACACAGTGTGTACAGGACAACCATCCGCTGTGCTTCTATACAGTTTCTGTTACTATTCAGGGCTCTAAAAGATATATCATCAGAACTGAACCATGGGAACTAATGACACACTGACTAAAGCTGCAAATCTTTCCTGAAATATACAGCAAATTTTCAAATCATTGTTGAGTAAGTATGTATGGCTAAATTGTACAAGTTTCAGTGTACTTTCATGACACCACTTACCAACTTTATGGGTACATAATACTAGGATACCTAATTACACAATTATATAATTTTTCTCCAAAAAAGAGAGATGCATATTGCAGAATCTGTAGGATATAGAGTTTTACCTTTGAGCTGTCTCTAGTGTTTGGTCCCAGTCTTGCAGAGCAAGCTGCAGTTTCATTTTTTCAATCAGAGCTGGTATAAAGTCTGGATATCCTACTACAGCCTGTAAAAACAGTTCAACTGGTTGATAATGTGTGATAAATGTTATCTCATCAAGAAATGACAATTAAGAACAAAGCATAGGGTGTCAGCAATAGATATGTAATTACTTAAAGCAAAGTGATTCAAGGAACACATGTGCTCTGACAAGTTCAGTAGTACATAAATCTTGCTTCTCCACAACCAAGGTGATTATACTTCTCATAAACACTTATTTTTAAAATGGCTAGCTTGCACTTTTTCTACCTGTTTCTGAAAATAAAAATTAAAAAAAAAAATGCGAGTAGTTTTTAATAGAGAATCAAAAAAAACCAAAACCAAAGTAATCCAGTGACCAATCAGAAGAAGAAAAGTTTACATTATCATTACCCAATGAGAACTCAAAGTGAAAACAAGCAAACTGCTTGAAGCCCAGGAAATGCAAATAACCAACTTGTGATTTTTCTAAGTTTTGCAACTGGTTGTTGGAGAGGATGGCATGAGCGTTCTGGACCAATCACAGACCAATGAAGGTTAAATCAAACCAAAGTAATTCCAGAGTACTTTCAACACTATTGAAAATTGCTCTTCACTACTTACACCAAAACAAAATTAATGTCCTACTCAGGATCAGAAAATATTATATAGTAACTAATTCCTTGAGCTTTGTCACAGGCACCATTCAATGCTCACTTTGCCTTTGGAAAATAATTTTTATGTCATGTTGCTGTACAAAGCTAGAACACTTTAGAACGTTATATGACCTTTTGTTTTCTTAAAATCAAGCCTTGTTTTGTTACATGACAATAAAATATTTTTTTTTGGCTAGCCGCACAAAGAGTTGCTTCAGTTTAGTTTCCTTTACATCATAGAAGTATATCAGGCCTTTTTTCACGTGAACATTTTAGTTTTAAGGAGTTGTCCCTGGAGCAAAGAGGAGTTTTATGGGCCAGAGTCTTTCAGAGTTTATTTACAACTTGGAGTTTTCTCATCCCTGGAGTCAAGATCAGACATAAGTCACCATCTTTGAGTTCCTATTAGTTTTTAGTTGTGTTTTCTGTCGTCAGATTTGTAGTTTAGCTCATTTCCTTAGCTTAGACAAATCATGCATTCCTTTATAGTTTTCACCCCAAGTGTTGTAACAGGTCAGCTAGCCTGTTAACATGATTTAGTCCAATAAACGTGTGTAAGAGTCTGCTGTCCGTCCTGTACTTCACTGCGGTTGACCTGGCAAACCCAATTATGCTACACCCCGTGTCTACTGTGCTGGGAATGTGACATTTTATCAACAAAAGAAACTGATAATGATTGAATATTAAGCCTGTTGAAAGAGGTGTCAAATGACTTTACATTACTTTGTAAATCATGGAGAACATGCTACTGTGCAAATTATCAGGAAAACATTTAAAACAAAACTTACCTGATTGATGAGTTCCAGTGCGCCACTGAAGTTATTTTTTGTCTCTAAGTACTTTGCCTTTTATTGTGTTTAAAGGAAGAAATCTACATTAGAAAACGTATGGTACTGACAACATTGTGATTCACTCTTACCAAAAGTACAAGTTAAGATGTTATCTATTGTTCCTTGTTTTGTGTCTATTGTCTCCTTATTCATTAGGGGAAAACAAACTAAGAAAATTCAAATGTATAACTGCACAAGCAAGTTACTTGAAAATGTATGAAAAACTTGAAAATAAGCAACTTACAATCACTTTAAACAGTCATTTTTCTTCCGCAAACTGTTATAATTATATGATATAAAAGCATTTATTTTTAATAACTAGACTAAGTATACTTCTCTGACCTTTCCAAGTAAAGCATCCAGATTTTTTACAACTTCAGACCTGTTGAAATCAAGGACATTAAAAAATAAAAAAAGGGCAAATAGTGATTGTTTGGAAGAAAAGCTGAGAATCACAGACAAATATGCAACAGCCATAAGCAGTCAATCAGAAATAACCTTAAGTAACCTACAACAAGCATCAGGTTAGTAATTTTTCATTCATCTGACACTTACCCACTGAGTATTTCATCAAACATTTTGATACTCTTTTTCGCATATGAGTCCTTTCCACTGGTTATATCAATCCAACCACGCAAAAGAAGGCCCTGAAAGTAAAATCAATAGTTACTGTTAGTAGTGACTATCACAAATCTATTGCCCATCTGCCATAGCTCCCTACTTTAGTAAAGATTGTTACAAATGAATATATACCAGTGTCAGAATAGAGCAGAAGTTTATAAAGTGATAATTTTTGGATTACCTCTTTATTATTACTAGCCATTTTGATCATTCTGTCCACATACTCTCTTGCCTTGTCATGCCGTCCTGTATGCCAGAGAAACATTCCACCAAAAAACAAAGCCATTTCACCACATGACTGCCGATCCTGACGAAGTTTTGTCTCCAGCTCTTGAACCGCTTCTCTGTCAACAAGTTTAGCTTTCTTATGCGCATGAATGAGTGCCATGGTGGCACAGAGTAAGACATCAGGCTTGTCTTTGACTACTTCCAATTCTCTTATTGCCTCAGAGGCTCTCTCTGAGATTCATAAAAAAGGACAAATAATATGACTTTATCTTAATTTATATATGGTGAACCATACTGGACTGGACTTGGGTTGTGAAAAATGAAAGCAGAGGCTAGTCAACGACTGGATCTTATCCTTTCACAGCCAAATCTATGAGCAAGGCTACTTTTTCCTTTATGTGTATGTATCGAATACTAGTAAGATTTCTGCACAGTCCCTGATACTATTATAAATTATAATAATAGTATATTCAACATAGCACATAACGTCTGATTGGTCAATTCAGTATCCAAGCCAATGCTTAATCAGTTTATAGAGCCTACATGCAACTTGTTATGTCATAAAAGGAATAGAACACATTTTCCTGGCTCCAATAATGTGATAAACCCTCTTGGGAAGTTGGGAGAACACCTGTAGAGCTTAAAAATCACTTGTATTTGGGTTGTGATTTGTAAGCTTTCCTTGATCCTTATCAGTGTGACTTTATCACATGATTGAGCCTGGAAAAATGTGTTCTACTGCTAAACCAAAGGAGTAGTCCGGAAGGCAATCTATTATTTTGCAATTCTTTGTCCAAGAATGGTATTCATGATGAAGTATAGGGCTGTGTGGAAATCTCACCCAAATAAGCTACAGCCTAGCTTATGTCCTAGAAATGGTAAATTCCTGTCTTTCACTTGCTGTGGTCTCTTGAAATTTCAACTCTGATGAGCCACTTGAACATCATCACTTTCCTCGTATTACACGTTGAAAAACTTATCACTATAACCCTGTCTACATGAGCAATTTTTATGTGGCAACTGTATTTGGCAATTTTTAGTTGCCCGTGTAGATGGCCCAACAAACATTGGTTGTTAATTTGTGTCAGTAATAATTTTGCACAGCGGAGATGCTCATGGAAAGGAAAAAAGCAAGATGGCGAAAGTCAGAAGATGGTCCAGACGTGTTGCAGCTTTAGGCACGTTTGTCACATTTTATGTGGCTTCTCATCTACACGGACAATTTTTTTATGTGGCAATTTTTATTTGCCACATAAAAACTAACACACCAGCTTTTCAGCAAATGCAGCTGTCACATAAAAATTGGTCATTTTTCATCATCTACACGAGCAAATAAAAATTGCCACATAAAAATTGCCATATAAAAATTGCTTGTGTAGACGGGGCTTATTTAAAAATCTTTTTAATCTTGAAGGTACCTTTGCTGCATAAGCAATCAGCTTTAAATTACCAAGAAGATTGAACAAAGATGACAACTTATGACCTAACTGGCACACTACTGGACAGACATACCATTTTGCAAAATATACCCCAAAACAAGGCACACTTATTTTGATGATCTTCTTTAATTTCTGAACATTTTTAAAATCAGCAGGCATGATTAATATCGGCTGAATTCGATCTTAGTCTCCTTCCATTTATGGCGACAAAAACTCCAATTTACACACAAGAAAAAGTACGGCAAACTCCTTACAGGTTTAGACCATTATCAACCATGTAGGTTATTGTGTAAGTCACTCATTAGTCACACCTTCCATCAAAACTCCAAACGCCTTCCAAAATATCAACACTGGATCGTTACCATACTTCTTCAAGCTCTCCAGACAAGAGTTCTGCAGATGTCTGTAGTATTTCTCACGACAGTAGTAGTTGATATAAGCCTATAAGATAAAGCCAAGTAAAATTAAATCGTTTATGAAAACACCGTTTACTTCAACTGCATAAGCTTATAGCAACTGTACGTGGCAACAAGAACCACTCTTGTGTTAAATTTGTTTTCAAGTCGTCTTCCCACAGGTTTACTTACCAGAGTAACTGTATCACTTGAAGCCATTTTGGATGTCCTCTGAAACTAACGTTAAAATTGTTTTTATAATAAATATTACCTATAGAAAGGAGTTATGTTCGTAAATTTTAATGTGTTTTTGACAACCAGACATCCGCCATAAATATTTCCCACGAAGCACTGGTGACTCCCGTAAGACCTTGCGGGCTCCCAAATTCAAAATGGCGGACGTTGAGGGCAGCTTGGACGAAGAAGCTCTCAGGCGAAGAGAACGGTTAAAAGCCATGAGAATCAAAAGTGGATTACCAGAGCAGCAGGTACTTGATACATTGTGAACGTTTTTATTGTTATTAACATTTCTTCTCTCGACTTAAATTCAAAATCAATCACAGTTTGTTATTTTCACAGTCGACAGCTACCGATTTAAGTTCTGACGTTGTAGATGTCTTAATTACATACAAAACAGCAACTGACGCCTGTTGAATTTATAATTTTTCTCACAATAGACTTCTGCTGATAGTGATTCCATGAGAGGAGAAAAGCGATCTGTGGATGATTCATCTGAACCCCTGTGAGTACATAATGAACCATTCCATTTAATATCTGCACCCCCCTATTGAAGGCCTGAGATTTCTTAGGGGGAGGGGGGTCAATGCTATATTTTTCTTAGAGGGGTTCAACCATATTTCCGAGAGGGGTCGCCATAAAGTACCCTTGAAAGAAATTCTCACCAGTAGTTTCTGAAGGGGGTTCAATTGGTTTGCTTGATAGCTCTATAAAATTCTGAAGGGGGTAATTTCAGGCAATTCTGAAGGGGGTTAAAAAATGTCTTTTCTGGAGGGGTGTTACAGGAAAGCCTTCAATAGGGGGGGTGCGAATTTTAAATGGAAAGGCCCAATGTGAATCAGACGTTCTCATTGATTGTCTCGCAAAGGAAAGCCTCGGGAAAGATGTTATCATTTAATTTTTGTCTCTTCATCATGACCCATAATACCTAGAGGAATTTATTCACATGCTCAAAAGAATTGAGAGAGTTATACTGGTTATTAAACTGCCTGAAGAGCTATATCTGAATTATTCAATATACAACAATATTTCGTATCTCTCTGGTCAACATTTCTCTTGTGCTGTTGGTTTAAGAAGTCAGGTTAAGGAAGGGCTGAGGGAGAGGTGACATAAGTAATACAAAAATACAAAATGTAGTCAAGATGCAGCCAGCTAAAACCATACAGAAAATTAAGTTAAAGGGCATCTTGGAAAGGAAGTTGTTAGTGTCCACGGTGATTATATTTCTTCTTCCTTGTTTCGTCAGAGGTGGCAGAGCATTTTGAAATGGGGGGGGTGGCTTATCTTTCATCTAGGCATGGGCATATCCCTAAGTATTCCAAAATACCCTTTGCATTGTTCATTGACATGAGCAAACCTCTCTGCAATCTGAACAGTTTCGAGTACATCTGGAATTGATTTGTGGCTTTCTTTATTTCCGGCGCATTCCAAATCTTTCAGCTGAGCATTCAATAGACCCTTTTAGCTTCATGCATCGTCAACTGATCACGTGACTTGAAATGGGTAAACAAACACGCTTTCAAGAGATGTAAAGTATTTCGTGCGACTCCGTTTTCGATAATGGTGGATTACTGCTGTGTGTATAATTGTTACAATAACTCCACTAACGAAGGACTTTCTTTTCATGGTTTTCCCAGTGATAAACAACTCGTCAAGGTAAGAGAAATTTTATAACTTTTAAAAATGTAGATGATTCAATGTCAGTTTCGTGACATCTTTAATGAGCTTGATCAGCTGCTAAAGCTTGTTACTGTTTCGTTTCAAGGTCTAGATTTCAAGAACTAAAAGTGATCCTTAGAAAGATTTCAAGGTTTAGGAATATACCAAAGTTTGTTCGGAGCATTTCCGACGAGAAGATTTTGTGTGCTTTAATTGACACAAAATCGAGAAGACTGAAAGCTGGAGCTTGCCCATCATTGTTCAGTTGGTCAAAAACAAATCCCAAGCGATCGCTTCCTGAGAAGAAAAAACAGATTAAAGAGCTTAATGCTATCCTAGAATCAGAGCTAACCGAAGCTGCTTCAGAGGGTGAGGGAAATTCAATTTAACAGATAAAGAAGATTCCTTTTCCAGAGCTACTCAAGTTAATGTTGAGATTCCGTGCGCAGATTTTTACTGAGAGTTCTGTTGGATCTAGCCAATACACTAGCATGAAAAGAAAATTATTTCAATCATCTAACTGGATTTAAAAGCTATAAGAAATATCAAGGGGTTTTAAAATTTGTACTTACGGGGAGAGAGAAAGAATATCATATACTGGAAAACGAAAGCTAGCAAAACCAAAGTATCGATACCTCCTTGTTATTTGATTCAGATGAAGAATCTGCACAAAGCAATGGCAGTGACTCAGAGTCAGACTCTGGCACTGAAAGAAATCACATTCTAGTGATAGAAGACGAGTTTCTTTTAGTGCTTACGAAACTTCGCTTGGGGCTTACGAATTTAGACTTAGCCACAAGATTTAGAGTTTCAGAAGCAACAGTTTCTAATATATTTATCACGTAGCTAGAATTTTCATACATCCACCTTGGTGCTCTCAAAGTGTGACCCCACAGGAGCGTTATTTTGGATAACATGCCCAATATAATTCAAAGAGGAACATCCCAATAACATCATAATCATAGACTGCACTGAGTTGAAAATTCAGTGGCTATCTTCCCTTGTAGTGCGATCCCATTGTTACTCAAATTATAAATCTACAAACACTTTGAAATCTCTGGTAGGTGTTGATCCAAAGGGTAGTTTTATGTTTGTGTCACAATTGTACACAGGATCAAAATCGGAGATGCAAATTGTCACAAAAAGTGGATTTCTTGACTTACTATCAAGCAAAAAAGATGTGTCAGAAGTTGATGATGGTGATAGTATCACGGCAGACAAAGGCTTTGATATTGAAGAAGACTTAAAGAAAATAGGACTTCAATTGAATATTCCTCCCTTTTTAATAGAAAAACCACAGTTTAATGAGAATGAGGTCATTAGAACAATCTATTGTAAAACACAGGATTCATGTAGAAAGAGCTATAGGAATAGTCAGAAATTTTCTCATTTTTAACACAAGAATACCAATTAGTTCATTGGGTACCATAAATCAACTCTGGACAGTTTGTTGCTTGCTTTCTAACTTCATTATTCCTGTTTTAACTGATGAAGAGGATGATTAACATGTGCTGCTGGAAGAAACTAAAACTGAACTTTCTCAAGAACTGCTAAAGCTTTTACAGTAGTGATCCTGGATGAAGTGAATGTTTGTCCTTGTTAAATATATATAATGCTTTGTACTGTAAAAACAGAAATACTTAACTGAGCTAGATACAAATGTCATTAAGTATAAAACATTTCTTTAGAGTGAGATATTTGAACACTTATGAATTTGTATTAGTAAGCAAATATGAATAAGCTGTAAGGGTCATTACTTTTGTGCATACTGCACTTTGTTAAGTTTCTCAGATTGTTAAATTTCTCAGATCAGTTAGGATCTTCAGTCAATAACTGCGTGAGGAGCTTCGCTTTTCTTTTGGCTCTGAAAACAGAGGGCCT